GGCTGATTCCGGAGAAACATACGATGTAAACGTTCGTTCCTACCAAAACATTACTACCGAGAAAACGGAGGAGAAGCTAATCATCGCCGTTGCTGGGTTTCCTATCATTTATAATGACGTTGTTTGCATTTAGATAACGGGCCTGGAGGGTGTCATGAACCCAAAATCTCCGAGTCCGACGTCTTCTCCTCAAATACAATAAAGCAGCAGCAAACACAACAACTTCGCGATTATCCATAATGATCCAGTGATACACATTTGAGAATGAGCGCAACTTTTATTTGAAACATAAACGAACGCTCGTTTTAAGCGGGAATGCAATTCATTTGCTCACGCGACACCAATTTGACCAATTTGCCTAATGCAAATAATAATAATAGCTAATTATTCTTTTTTTGCCGGCCAAATCGGTTATAAAAATGCTGTCATTATAAAAGGTTTCCTTCAATGTATTGCTTGGTTTTTCTGTTTATTACATTTTATGTTGTGACACTTCTCTTCTCCCTGCAACGTCAGAGCGTTCAAAGCGTCCAAAGCGTCAACAAGCTTCCTCGTACTTTTTGACAAGCGTCCTTGACAGGGCGGCCAGAGCTTCTTTGACGCTCAAGTCGGCGGCGGTGTGAACGTACGGTAATCCATCGACCGGAAGTTGAAGCCGGCCGGTTGCCGCCATGTTGTAGCAGAACTTCACTTGCGTTAGCATTTCCATTGACTCCCATTCATTTTGGCGTCACTTTGACAGCGAATAACTTTACATCTGAGGCGTTTAAAGACTCCATTTGTCCATTATTTATTTCTAAAGAAACACGACAATGTATAAAGGGCTCCATTACCTTCTATGTTATATTATGGCCCCGTAGAAACAAATTTTGTAAAAATAGGCTAACGACTGCGTCATAACCACTCGACTCTCTGTCGCGCTGTACAGAAATTACCGTACAGACAGGAGGAGAAGCTCGCAGGCAATCGGGGGGACGTCCCGTCAAGGGAGAAGCCCATAGATAATGAGTTCATAAAAGCAACGGAATACTTACTCCTGCTCACTCACGCCAAAGAACTCTTTCCTCAAGTTCCCCGTCTCTGCAAGATTAACGTTGGCAATTTTCACGCACAGCTACTAGAAGATTAACGTCTGTCAGACAGGTTGCTCACGTCATCAAGCTTAGTTTGAGTCGGTTTGAGTCTGCGCGTCAGGAACGGAAGTGCTCAAAAATCGCTAAAAATGGGCTTCAACTGTCTCAACTGAGTTCCAATGAGATGGCTCTGTCCACTTCTTATACTGTCTATGCTTTTTCCTGGTAACGGAGCCAGCAAGAAAGAGGAGATCCTCCCCCGTCTGGGCTCAACAGAAGCATCAGTAGCTATCCTCATTTATACCAACTGGCACTGGCATTTTTATGTTCCCCTGCATCCTCTGTTCCTTGTGAAAGGATATTTTCCAAGGCTGGAGAGGTTTTGTCCAAGAAGAGGAATCAACCCCAACACACTTGAAAAATGTTTGTTTGTCAAAAAAAATGTATTGTAATCCTTCCTTCACCCACCCCAAACTGCAGTGTTGCAGTTTGCTCCTCTTTATCCCCAGACCCATAAGCACAACACTGCACTAAAACTAGTAACAGTTCACTGCACAAACCCCCCCCCCCCCCAGAAACAATTCTTAACTTTTCCCACCCCAGACTATTCTGTTGCAGTTTACTTTATTACACTCCCTCAACCATAAGCACTGCACTCAACACAGTGTCACTTTTGTTGTTCACATTGTCACTATCCAAACCATTTATGAATAATTAATTAACTGTGTGTGTGACAGTTGTCTTTGCAAAAGTAAATTCAGACAGAGAAAGATACATATTTCATTTCATACCCAGGCAATGGACAAATGTCTGTTCAGGTCTTTTTATTATTGCAAATGAAAGGTTACAGACATTAACAGTGAGAAGAAAATAAATAAATAAACAAATAAATAAAACGGAGGAAAGGAGGGGGGGAGGGGGGGGGGATTTTTGAGCAGACATCATATGTCTGCTCAGGTCATTGGTTCAAAATGAATTAATTTGTCTGTTACTTCTTTGCACAGTAGCTAGGTGTCACTAGTGAGCAATGCTGAATGAAGCTTCGAGTAATGAACCTTTGGGTGAAGCAATGGGCTGCGAGGTCTCAGTGGTTCAGGAAGCCTCATTTTGCCATCACTAATGTGGAGTATTTGATGAATGATGTCTTGTCTACATGATGCTCTCCCAGATTGAATGCTTAATAATGCTGATAAACTGTCTGAGGCAATAACAACTCCTTGGTTCTGACTATTTCCTTCCACCCACCCTACAGCCCAGGTCTGCAAACACAGGGAGACTAAATAGGGAGACCAAACAAAGGAGGTAACGAGGGAGGACAGGTGGGGCAAACAAATCAATAAACAGGTAACAAGATAGGAGGGGCTAGACAATCAACAGGAGAGCACATGGCACAAGGAAACATACATGACAAGCCATGTGCTCACACCAAACATGACTTGAACACAAGCACATGACCAGTAAAACTAATCACCAGCCATGTGCTCACACAAAACGAGACATGAACACGCCAATGAAAACACTCATAAGCCACGTGTTCACACAAAACATGACAACATGAAAGCACACAGCTAGTGTAAAACGCAAGCTGTGTGCTACACAGCACAAGACACGCAAGCACATGAAACAAGGCAAGACAAAACAGGAGTGTCAGGGCTCTGTCACAAAACCAAGAAATAGACTATACAGAAGTGACAGAACCCTGACAACATTAAGAGGAACAGGCATTAAAGTCGTTACATCCCTTGTCTTGGTGAATGAATATTAAACTTTTCACAGGTACAAATACATATCAGTGTCAAACTCGACACCTTTATTGTTAGAGGCCTTGTAGATTAGAAATAGATCGAGATGAGCTCATAGTTGTGGTTTGGTTTCTTCTCTTTCAGATCAGTGGCATTAACCAGTGTGCGAGGAACAGCGGATGTTCACCAGTTTCTGCTTCTTAGCTAATAAAGTTATAAATACATCGAATACCTTTATTACAATCAAATCCATCAAAGTTATGATTCCTCTTCCATTAAACACACGAGATTATACTTCTCATAATGGCAAATTCATGCTGTTCACAAAATTTCAGTAGGAAACTTGCGTGACATTTTCGAACGTGTTTCAAAATTATCAACTTCATCAAAAGGTTTTCTGTAACACATGAGATACATTTGTGTCTTCTTTAATCTGTCATTATGTTCCTAAAGATCTGACTATGTATCAGGAAGTCTTGAGTAACTCAGTCTGTCTTTAACCGTCAGTCATTATTCAGTCAGTATGGAGCTCAGTCAACTTCCTCTTCTGCTCTGTGAGTATTATTTCCTCAGAAAATAGTTGCACTTATATTATAAATAGGATTGTGTTCCTTGATTTTATTTTATTTTCATGCTCTGAGAGCTTCAAATCCAGCTCTAGTTCATGATATATGAGTGAAAGACGAGTCTGAGCAGTTAGTGCTGTTTGTGAAAGAGAAATGCACTCTGTTGTGTTTGGGTCAGTCTGTTTGGTCACTCACTCGGTTTAATGCTTTGTAATGGTGTTTGCTGTATCATTTCTGTTGGTTAGTTTTGTACAGTTTGCTGTCGAGATGCACTAGGTAGATTTTCACTTGTTAGTCTTCAGTAGATGTTCACTTGTATTCATTTAGTAAGAGTTTATATGAGTTAATTGTTATAATTGTCACTGTTTTCAGACTCTAAAAGGTTTTTACAGAAACACTCATCCAGGTGCCACTAGATCTAGACAATTAGAAGAAAGACTTAAAGAGAAATCAAACATTTCTGTGTTGTTGAGAAACGTGTGAGAGTGAAATTATGCTGTTTCACAAGCAAAGAAAGAATATGCATTTATAAAATGTTTAAAGTATAATACAAAGTTGATCAGCTCCATGTTCACAGTGTAATCGGTTTGAGATTTTCCTGTATTTGGCTGAACTGTCACTTTTGGTTGCTTGCCAGCGTGGCAAGAGGAAACCGCACTTAGTGGCACTAAGGCCTAACTACTTAGAATAGAATAAATGCAGCTTTAAGAAAACCGATTACGCCACTCGGACATTACACAGAGAATGATTGATACACTTTATCTTAAGGCACTTATCTTGGTTGCACTAGTAAGGAACAGAGACATGAAGATCATACCAAAAGAGTTCTTTATTACTAAAATCACATTAAAATAAACTGAGCGTATCAGGCAAGACACGCCACAACATCTGACCAAAAAATAAATATGTTATGTTATCAGAGAAGAAATACAGTCATTCAAGAGTCAGTCACTACAAAATGAACGTACAATAAAACATTACATTCAAAAGCTTTTTGGCTGAGGGCTAAAGAACAAGGAATACAACCACACACTTTAGAGTAAACTCTTATCACTCACACACAAAATTCGTGCATCTCACTGCACACACAGCACCCAGTGTTCAAACCACCACCAGCCCTCAGCATCTAGCAAAAGAAGTTTGCATTGCTCACGCACACACACAAACACACCAAAGCAAAAATCACAATTAAAGAATAAATCAAGACTACACAACACAACATATTCAATATAAACACAACAGAAAAACAATAATAAACCAAAAAAACACTCGACTGAAAACTATCATTTCTCTTATACATAAAATAAGTTTTTGTGGAGAGAATAATTTACTGAAGGTATCAGAGGAGCAGATTCTTCAGCAATGATGTTAGTCTGTCTTCAGAGAGTCTGAACCCAAATATCTGTCTGTGGGACAGACCTTTACCTAAAGCTTATTTACAGACAAAATACAGCATAGGGACAACTAAGAGAAACACAGCCGGTTACTTCACGAGAAGAACTTTGCAAAGAAGATCCCACAGAAATAAAAAAATCTGGATAATCTGAGTTTAAAGATATTTACAAGGAACATTTAAAATAAACATAATATATCATTGGTTGTTTACTTTGTGTTTTTAGTGCTGATTTCAAACATCCACTCTGGCCACACTCAAGGTGAGTGAATTTGATTTATAAATTTCATCACAAATGTGTAATTCTGTTACAAACCAGGGGCCGGATTCACCAAACATTCTTAACTTTCTTTTTACGGTTGTTCTTAAGACAAAATTTGGTTACACTTTAGTTTAAGGTGACATAGTTACATTGTACCTACTCAAATAAGTGCTGAGTAATATTAATAACACTTACTATAGAGTTACAGTTAGGTTGGTTTAGGGTTAGTTACTTGTAATTATACATAATTTACTGTTATTAATATAGTAGCCGAAGCACATGTAGTGTAACTACATCAACTTAAAATAAAGTGTTTCATAATTAAAAAATGATCCCATATTCATATTCCTGAAAATAACGTTTTTAAAAAAATCATTGTAAATAACTTCTTAAAGTCAGGATAACCTCCAGCCTGTCTTAAATCCCCGAAGGAACATTACGAACTTCATGGAATTTATCTTAAGAACTTTCTTAACTTCTTTTTAAAGAAGATTTTTGTGAATCCGTTCCCAGCTGTCACTCATCTGCACTCATCCACCTTCATTCACCACATGTTTTCCTTTGTTTGTATTCATCCCTCCACTCATCAGTTACATCTGGACATTCATTCATCACAGCTGTTCGTCATTTATTTCGTTACCTCTGTGTATTCAGTTCCTCTGTGTTCAGTCTTTAGTTGTCGGTTGATGTTGGTGTATTGTAGTGTTTATGTTACGTTTATATTCCTCTGCACACTGTTACTCCTGCTTGCCTTCTTGTAATTAAAAACCTGTTTATATTTGATAACCTCGTCTTCAGTCCATCTTCCCTCATCTTCATCTTGTGTCACCAGCAATGAAATGAGTGTCATGATTATAAATACAGCTTTTTAAACAAGTTATACTGTATAAATGATTCATGTGTTGTAACACCAGACAGAGGGTTCTGAGCCGGTGTAACAAAACTAAAAACATTCACTCACATGAAAACATTTTTATGCAGAATTTTGAAATATAAAATATCTTTTGACATTTGTTTACGGATTTAATAAAAAGATTAGAGTTGCTGAACCTGCAACAACAAAGTGATTTGAACCACAACAACAATGTGTAACCCTTTAGTAACTGATACTGTGTGTCTCTGACTGCTGGTGTGGATGTAGGTGTGTGTGAAACCCTGCGTTGAGCTCAGGGCTACTAACCTAAAGGATGTGGGTTTGAACTCCACATAGGGGCGTCTTTACGCCTTTGTTGTCCTTTAACTCTTTGCATTGCGCTGAGTGAATGTCCCACTTGTTTGTTCCAGTCATTTCTGCCGACGGCTCTATTACATTGTTTGTGAAATAAAAATATATTAATGATTTACCAGTGAGAGAATGAGATCTGCTGAAAAACGTTCACATCTTATGATCTCACTGACTTTATACTGACAGATGTTCCCAAACCGACTCTGACTGTACGGCCACAGAGTTCAGTGTTCACTGGAGACTCAGTTACTCTGAGATGTGAGCTGGATCAGTCATGGGATGGATGGGAGGTTCTCTGGAGAAAAGACTCAAACACTGAATCTCCTGAAGATGCAACTAAAACAATCAGTCCTGTGAAAGTCTCTGATGGAGGAGAGTACAGATGCAGAGCAAGAAGAGGAGGATATTACACATATGACAGTGAACCAGTAGCAGTGACAATACATGGCAAGTGTTTTCTCTCATTTGATGACCCTCTCTGAGAACACAATGAAATTGATTCATAAGACCAAGAGAATAAGTGACTATAACAGCTATAGAGAACAACACTTCAGTGTAACCTAATTTAATGTGTGTTTTACAATGAAGTCATTGTTCAAACATTAAAAACAGCATATTTTATTGAATTTATTTGAATAATAATTATTACTATTATTATTATTTGTTATGTTCTTTATCACATTGTTTTAATTGTTTATTGTTGTCTTTCTACAGAAAGACCAAAACCCAAAGGGACCATTAAACCTGATCATCATGTATTCAGAGGAGACACAGTCACTCTCAGATGTGACATATATGATGAAGGAGTCACTAGCTGGCGGTACGTCTGGTATAAAGACGGTTCAACCAGTGTTTTCAGTGAAGGACAGAATCACACATTCAGTGTATCTGAGTCTGACGCAGGAAAATACTCCTGTTATGGGACAGAGACTAAAGGATCACACAGTTCACAACTCAGTGATGAAGTTACACTGACAGTATCAGGTGAGATCAGATTGATCATCTCTTCATAAACACACACACGTTTAACATGTTATTAATAAGGGATTTTTTTAGAGCAGTTTTAAGTGTTTCTCCAGAGAAGTGGTTGATTTTGACACAGAAGTGTTCAGATTTTTAGGGGTCAGGCAATAAACGTGTGGCCTCAGTTTTCTTTTGATTATAACTTTGAACTTAAAAACAAGAACCTTTCCCTGATCTCAAATTGAAAATGAGGATTTCAATTTCTGAAGTCTCAGTGAGTCGTCAGATATTGTAAAATATTTTGTGAACTGTTTTCACTTCTTGACAACAGTGGTTGATCTTTACACCAAGCCTCCCAAAAGTTATTGGCTAGATTTTTATTAATGATTTGACATTTTTCAATTTAACCATTATCATATTACACCAGAACAAAGTAGTCATGATGTGTTTCATCTCTGCAACTCTTTTTCGTGTAAACTGCTGCACTTCGTGACTTTGTTGAATGTTGTGTCTCTTTGACTGCGGCTGTAGATGTTGCTGTTGTGAGACAGTGGATTGAACTATAACTATAAGAGGACGAGATCTTCTGTTGAAAAACTTTCACAACTCAAGCTTTTTGCCAGTTTTATACTGACTGATGTTTCCAAACCAACTCTGACTGTGCAGTATTTTGCTTTCATAATGCACAAATGATTTCATAAGACACAGAATAAGTGACTATAAGAGAACAACACTTCAATCTAACCTGATTAAGTGTTTTACAATAACAATATTCCATCGCAATTTATTGTTTTTATTTATTATTTTAGCACATTATTTCATTGTTTATTGTTATCTTTCTACAGAAAGACCAAAACCCAGAGTGAGCATTAAACCTGATCATCATGTATTCAGAGGAGAGACAGTCACTCTCAGGTGTGACATATATGATGAAGGAGTCACTAGCTGGCGGTACAACTGGTATAAAGACGGTTCAACCAGTGTTTTCAGTGGACGACAGGAACACACATTCAGTGTTTCTGAGTCTAACGCAGGAAAATACTCCTGTTATGGGACAGAGACTAAAGGATCACGCAGTTCACAACTCAGTGATAAAGTTACACTGACAGTATCAGGTGAGATTGATCATCTCTTCATAAACACATACACTTTATCATGTTATTAATGATTAATGGTTATATAATTAAAAATTAAAATTAAACCAAAATTGTCTCACATGATCTTCAAACAAAGTCTCAACTATCTAAACTTTATTTTGATGGTCCCCTTTCCCCAGACATTGTATTGACTATGAGTAAAACTGCACCTGTCAACTAACTTTCATTAGAGTATTAGTTGAGTATTAGACCGTTAGTTTAGGGTTAGGACAAGTTTTGTGTACTTGTAAAGTTACTTATAGTCAGTTAAAGGGGACTATCAGAATAAAGTGTTACCAATTATTAATAATACATGATACAATAGAGAAACAAAAAGCAAAAGCAAGAATAGATGAAAAAAAAAAATATATATATATATATATATATAAAAATACATGCATACATATACACAGTAGGGGTTAAACAAATTAAAATTAAAAAATTTAAAACAAAGTAAAATTTCCTGGCTTTATAACTTTATAATTGTAAGGCCTCAGTATATTTAGCTCTTTTTAAAGTCATTAGACTGTAGTGCTGTTTTCAAAACTTAAAACAAATAAAATATTTTAACATAAGAAGTTATCAACAAAGTCCACATTTTTGTCGTCTAAATGTATTCCAACTTTCACCATATCCGTAATAGATGGAAAAATATATAATGTTTTATATTATCCAATTAAATTCCTCAGTCCAAAATGTTTTAACCAAATTACATTTTAAAAGTGAATGATCAACCAATTCAATATTATTATTACAAATTTGGCTAGTGTTTGAATCCGCATTCAATTTTATTCTTAGAAATTCCTTTCATCAATGAATCACACATCATTTCAAAATGCACGTTTAGGCAGAAGGGGAAATAGAAGATATTTGCTTCTGAATTACTTGAATGATTTCCTTCAAAAATGTAATTTCTTCTTATATGACCATAGCTTTCCTGCAAAAGGCAATTCCTGATAATCTTATTAGTGCTCACTCCTCATCAATATAACTTATTTTGCCTAAATTAAGATCCCAAATATCTTGGGAAAGAGCATGGATTATGTTATAAACTCTTTTAACATACTAATCATTGGTAAAATAATACTTCTAATAACTTTCATACAATCTTTTTTCTCACAATTGAAATTTAATTGGGTGAAGAAATCACTTTAACTCCAAAAGTCATTTTTATCCATCATGTGCAACACTGAACAAATATCATCCAAAACCAAAGATTGTCTTTGAATTGATATATTGAATATAGCTTCCATTTATCTGAGCAGATGCAGGTTTGGTTACAGCACCACCTACTGGTCAGAAACTATACCAGTTTATCCAACACTATCATCTACTGTATCATTTTAAATGTTCATGTGAACTGCTGCACCGGTACAAAACTTTGTTGAATGGTGTGTGTCTTTGACTGCTGGTGTAGATGTTGGTGGTGTGACACTGTGAGTCCAGCTCTGGATTATCAACACAAAGATTGTGGCTTTGAACCTTTATTGTCTTTTAAGATTTCGTCCCATATTTATTGTCCCATAATGTTGGCCTTTTTGACCCTGCCTGTAATGTTGCTCGCATTGTCTATGAAATCAAAATACTTTAATAATTTGCCAGTGAGAGAATGAGATATTCTGTTGAAAACGTTTAAGAGCTCATGCTCCCAAATTACCAATGATTTTATATTGACAGATGTTCCCAAACCGACTCTGACTGTATGGCCACAGAGTTCAGTGTTCACTGGAGACTCAGTTACTCTGAGATGTGAGCTGGATCCGTCATGGGATGGATGGGAGTTTCTCTGGATTAAAGGCTCAAACGCTGAATCTCCTGAAGCTGCAACTAAAACTATCAGTCCTGTGGAAGTCTCTGATGGAGGAGAGTACAGATGCAGAGCAAGAAGAGGAGGATATTACACACGTTACAGTAAACCAGTAGCAGTGACAATACATGGCAAGTGTTTTTCCTCGCATAATGAACGGCTCTGAAAACACTATATGAAAATTATTTATAAGACACTAAATAAACATAGAGAACAACACTTTAGTTTAACTTGATTTAGTGTTTTGTAACTGTTGGTACAATAAAAAACAGCACATTTTATTAGGCCTATTTGTATTTATTTTATTATATTATTTATCATCCCATTATTTTCAATGTTTATTTTTGTTTTTCTACAGAAAGACCAAAACCCAGAGTGACCATTAAACCTGATCATCATGTATTCAGAGAAGACTCAGTCACTCTCAGATGTGACATATATGATGAAGGAGTCACTAGCTGGCGGTATAACTGGTATAAAGACGGTTCAACCAGTGTTTTCAGTGAAGGACAGAATCACACATTCAGTGTTTATGAGTCTGACGCAGGAAAATACTCCTGTTATGGGGCAGAGACTGAAGGATCACGCAGTTCACAACACAGTGATAAAGTTACACTGACAGTATCAGGTGAGATTGATCATCTCTTCATAAACACACACACGTTTAACATATTATTAATGAGCGATGTCTCTATTTCAGTTCCCAGAGCAGTTTTAAGTGTTTCTCCTCAGAAGTGGTTGACTGAAGGAGATCCAGTGACTCTGATCTGTGAGGTTAACGGCTCCTCTACAGGCTGGACATTCAGCTGGTTCACTGTAACTGTCTCAGGTCCGTTATAATGTGCTTCATCTGAATTAACTGGTTATATTGAAGTGAAATATATAATTTAATATGTCTGAAACCAGACACAGACTGGGTATTAAGGGCAACACTTCCATGGGCACCAAGCAGTGAAACCTACTTTGAGAACCCAATCCCTCATTACCAGTCACTGATCTTTAACAACATAAGAGCCATTGAACAAACCCTGAATAAAACAACCTAAACACAATGGGTAATATGGGTTACAGCAATGTGAACCAGTGTATTCAGGATTAAGTTTTGTTACAATGTAATTTATACGGACCAGAGCAGATAGTAGTTCCTTAAAGTGAATTCTACACATTCTCACTTTATACAGGTTTATATAATGATTATGAGCTCCTCTCAGACAGCAGCAGAGGAGCTGGAGGAAAATACACTGTCAGTTCTGCTGATCTAAATCACACTGGAGTTTATGTGTGCGGAGCAGAGAGAGATAAAACTACCATAAAAACAACATACAGCAACACACAACCACTGTGGGTCACTGGTGAGTTCACACACATAGTTTAAATGATTGATTGATTCATATTAAATAAAGACAATTTCCTAATGATAGCTGTAATTGTTTTGTCAGGTGTTTCTCCTCCAGTGTCTCTGATCATCAGTCCCAGCAGAACTCAACACTTCGGCTCTGACTCTCTCTCTCTGAGCTGTGAAGACCAGAGTAACTCTGATGGATGGACAGTGAGAAGATACACAGACAGCGGGCGGCGGCTGGAAGATTGTTCATCATTACGCTGGGGATCACAAACAGGATCTACATGTACAATCAGCTCCCCCATCACATGGGACACTGGAGTTTACTGGTGTCAGTCTGAATCCCGAGAGAACTATCATCCTGTTAATATCACTGTACACTGTGAGTCTGTGTTTATGTATTTATTAATTTCATTGACAGTTTACAATCAATACACAGGTTTATTAAACAAGAGCAGGATGTAGTGTGACGTTGACCAGTAAACAACCAGCCAGACCATCATAGCAATACACTAAAAACAGAAACCATGTGGGCAGTGCAAAATATAACGTTATTTTTTATTCTGTCTTGTTTTTATTATGTTACAATATTGTTCATATATTGCATGTCTCCTGTGTTTCTGTAGTTGGTGTGATTCTGGAGAGTCCTGTTCATCCTGTGACTGAAGGAGGTAATCTGACTCTACGCTGTTTATATAAATATACAACCCGATCAAACATCAGAGCTGATTTCTATAAGGATGGATCACTCGTCCAGAAACAAACTACAGAGATGATCATCCCGACTGTCTCAAAGTCACATGAGGGTTTCTACTACTGCAAACACCCAGAGAGAGGAGCGTCTCCCAAGAGCTGGATCTCAGTCAGAGGTGAGAGTAAGAACTACAAACACAGTTGAAATGTTCATGGACGATTTACAGCACTAATCTACATGTAAAATATATATGTATCTCAGTTTCTCCAGCCTCAGGATCTAATGGACTCAATCGCGTGATAATTGGAGTGACTGCGGGACTGACTGTTGTGTTTTTGATCATTGTCTTCATGGTCCTCCTGTGGCGCTACAGAAACAACAAAGGTTCGTCATCTGACATATTAAAACTCAGTGACAGATTCTCAGACGCTACCTCTGTTCCTAATGCTTGTGAGCTGCCAAACTACATCAGTCTTAGTCTCAGTCTTAGCTGGTTTACAAACCTGGTAAAGCTGATGTTTGCTGGTTTCAGAAGGTTTCTGGGCAGATTTCAGTTGGTCAGGCTGGGAAAGCATAATTTGTAACTTCAATTCTGAAAAGTATTGATAAATATGTATGTCATCTATATTGAAATTATTGAAACTCATTGAAACCTCCATCTTGTCCATAGTTGATTTGATATACAGAGTTACTGAATGTGTAAAACTCTCCAAATTAGTCATTTATCAGGTTTCATTTTCTGCCTATGAAGACAGCAGGCAGTAAGGGAGCTTCATGTTTTGGACACAACCATAATGTGATAAACATTTTGTCATTCTTAAACATGTTTACATGAAAGAGATTATACACAAATATTTTGTTTGACCAGGTGTGAGATCTGAGTCTCCGTCTCCTGTCAGTCATCAGCAGAACATCAGTCAGAAATCAGAGCAGAACCAGAGTGAAGCCGGAGACACGGCACTGCTGTCCGGTCAGTCTTTACTCATTACCCATTAATACAGAAATCTTTACAAGCTGAGATAAAAGACACTTAACTATTAACTAACATGACATATTTCACAACTAGATATTTCACTCTTCTAAAGTTTAAGATGATATTTTGGGTCTTACATATACATATATTGAACTTGTCATTTAGTTTTATTTGATCAAAAACTGCATAACAAAATATATTTTATTTTCTGTATGAAATATTATGTCTAGTGCTTTATTTTTTGTGGCAGGATGAAATAGTATTTTTCTGTGGAATTGAATTTATAAGATTTCATATGTAAGATAATAATACTTTAAACATGTATGTATTATTGAAAATTAATTAATGTATTAATTTATTACAGGAACTTCACATATTTATGACTCTGTTGATACAAATATTAATAAAGAAATAAGCACAGGTAATTAATGATGTCAATGTATTTAATGTCATTATGATGAGTTCAGAATTCTTTTCTAAATAAATTGGAAATCAAATCCATTTTTTTTGTATCACTGTAAATTTTTCAGAGCAAATCGAGTTAAACCAAGTGTCTTATTTCTTTCTCTGTTGTTCATTGTAGACGGTGTAAGTGGGCCGACTGAGATCACATATGCTGAGATTGAACTCAAATCAACAAAGAAACAGAAGAAAAAGAAAGAAAACAAAGGTAAATGGAAACAAAAGTCTCTGCTCTTATGATTTTATGATGTGGTTTTGTTGCTGTGCACTGTGACACAGACCTGATCCAGAAAGGTCATTGCATGCAAATTGTGTATTTTGAGGTCATTTGGTCTAACATAGTCATTATAAAATAAAATTATCCTCTCTGTAAAATTATGATACGACACTAAATAATATGTGTTATTTAACTTTATAATACAGCCCATTGTATAATACCATATTTCATAGGTATTATTATCATAGGTTGAACGTACAGTAAGCACTAGTGATATGAACTGTTGGCATATTCTAGGCAAAAACACTGAGAGTGACGACATTTACTCTAAACTGAAGCTGTAAACGGATCAAAGTGAGTGTCAAAATAAAAACATCAATCACAAAATAAAAACATCAACCACTAAAAATGTAAATGCATTATTGAGAATCTAAGAAAGTAATTTAAAACCTGTATATAAAAATGATAAATGTGCATTTTGAATTCTCTGATATATTTTCAGATGCTGGATCCAGTGATGTGACGTATGCCCAGGTTAAAAAAAGACGACCGGAGAAGAAACTTTCAATCCCAGGAATCTGATGAGTTTATGGTTGAGAAGTGAAAGGATCATCAAGGCAATAGATTTGCCAGAACTTACTGTAACATTAGTAAGCCTTCATGTGCTTCAGAGACTATGCATGTTAATATTTGAAAAGCTTTGAGCTGATTATTCATTAGAAATAAGCTTGTATTGTTTAGTACTGCCGTGTGTTTTATATTGGTTAATACCAGCAGCAGCAGCTTATCATTTGACAACTGAGGGAATATAATATTCAGTGTTAGGCTATTTCTTTTCTGACTGATGAGTAAGGGACCAAGTTACCTTTTTTATTTCTGTCTTCTTAAATGTATTTGTACAAAAATGTATTTGTAACAAAATGTTAAAATTGTGATTTCCATGTCTGGACAAGTTGTCTTTAAACATAAACGTACATAGTAAAACTACTTTGTTCTAGCTATGCTCAAAATAGCAATTGCAATATACACTCACCTAAAGGATTATTAGGAACACACTAATACTGTGTTTGACCCCCTTTCACCTTCAGAACTGCCTTAATTCTACGTGGCATTGATTCAACAAGGTGCTGAAAGCATTCTTTAAAAATGTTGGCCCATATTGATAGGATACAAGGAACATATTGATAGGAACAAGGCATTTTCGCCCACAGGACTGCCGCATACTGGATGGATGTTTTTCCCTTTTCACACCATTCTTTGTAAACCCTAGAAATGGTTGTGCGTGAAAATCCCAGTAACTGAGCAGATTGTGAAATACTCAGACCGGCCCGTCTGGCACCAACAACCATGCCACGCTCAAAATCGCTTAAATCACCTTTCTTTCCCATTCTGACATTCAGTTTGGAGTTCAGGAGATTGTCTTGACCAGGACCACACCCCTAAATGCATTGAAGCAGGTTGAAATTGAACAGGTGTTCCTAATAATCCTTTAGGTGAGTGTATATATATATATGTCTTGGGCTATTTATGTTTTGTTTGTTTTTTTGTTAAAAAAAAAAGGTTTTGAGTGTTGGCTATTAAGCCTACAGTGCCATTCAAAAGTTTGTTTTTTCCCCCCCGAATTTTACTTTTTATTGTAATAATATTTCACATTACTGCTTTTAATGTATTTTTTATCAAATAAATTACTTTGCCATAAGAATAAGAGACTTATTCTTTCAAAAACGTTAAAAAAGCATCTTACCAACCCCAAGTTTACTTAAATATTCTTAAGCCCATTAATCAATAAATACCATCGAACATTCCGAAATATTCTTAATTAGCCTACGTTATTGTTATTATCATTTGAAGATCTATACTTTCATTCCAGGCAGTTCTAATTGCTAGGTTGTAACTTGCACCAAAGATGCAGCAGGATCGTGAAGACTTCGTCGTAGTGGAAACGACGCTAGGTGTTAACGAAGTGGAACAAACAACATCTCTGAACAGATCGAACGAACGATTTTAAACAAACATATACTTTATTTCCCTGTTGATTTCGAGAGTATTAGCGTATCAAAATAGCCTACATCAGTTTGTCTTGAAAACTTCACAATAAAAACGTAACGAAATGATAATATTCGACTCATTTCTGTAAAGCTGATGTGTATGGCATCATGTTATGATGATTACAGTGAGAGATTCTGTAATGATCACAGCTGCCTGACCCGACAGTCTGGGCGGAGATTAACAGGCTTTTTCAAACTCTTCTTCGATCGGCTTGAGCTTTGGCCAACACTGAGTGAGATGATCGAAACCACCATCAAGTCCCATAGCGTTTGACTGATCTGTCCCACCGGATAACAACAACTGCAATCTGCTGAAATGTGCTGATCTAAACTTCTGTTGTTCTTGAACTCTGGAAGGTAAGCTTCGTTTTTGTTTTGTTTAGATTTAGTTTTAAGCTTCGATATCTCTGCTTACTTAACTGCTATTGAACTCATTAGAGATAGGCTAAGCAGTTATTTTTGCCAAAATTTCTCTCAAGGGCAGTTTTAGGTCATTTTTATTGAGAAACAAATTTAACTTGTTCGACAATTGTCAATTCAAATGTTATGCCATCTGTTTTTGTTGGAGGCCTAAACCCATTTAAAGTGTTGTTTAGGTGCATTATGTACGAATAATCTAGTTTGAATGATCTAGATATCTTTGTTTATTTTATTGTTACTAGATTCACTATCTTTAATATGCAACACTTTTTAATAGTATATTTTTTTATGTCACCATTTTCTAGATTCATAAATAGTTATTTATATGAGGCCTATATATTAATATATTTAACATGTTATTTGATATATATTGATTCATATAGTCCAAACTGATCTATAAGGTTCTCTTACTTGGATAGATAGTCATATACTGAAATAGCAAACAACACTGTATTGATCTCATCTGAAAAAAAAAAAAAAAAATCAAGTGTATTTACGTAATGTATTTCCATCTGCCTATGCCTTGATTCCACTTGACCAAAACAGATAAGCACAAGCTTATCTTAAATTACAAAAGAAATATGGTTAGTTGACATGACACTTTTTACTTTCCTTCATGAAAAATATTCAAATATTGGATATGGGATGAAGAATAAAATGTATTTTTCTCACCATGTAATTTAGAGAGTATTGAATAGCACATGACAATATCAAATCGTATTAAAAAAAATTAATCTTATTGTTATTATATATTATATATTTGTATATATGTGGTGTATCAGTTGTTGACTGAATATGCAGCTCTAATCTAAACATCTGTGTCTAATCTATCTATACAGCTCTGTCAGGCCATGTCAAGTGTTATATCACTCTTGATATTAATGTTGGCCAAAGGAGAAATGGCTTTGCATGCACTGAAATGTATTTGTTTTGATCTTGACAGTTAAACTTTAAAACAGTTTTTATGTCATAGTTCATAAACAAGCATGTTTAACTGAACTGCTTGCTATGTCGTCTCAGTCCTCAGACTCATTCCTTCAAACTCTTACTTTGTGTTATTTTCTCAGCCCAGTTTTGCAGACGATGTCCAGTCATTTCACGGAAGAGGAGCGATCCTCGTAGCCCCGGCGAAAACATTGTTTCTTTGCAACATCCATCTCATTGCTGGCTTGATTTCAAGGAAATCCTGATTTTTGTTTGTGCGTTGGTCCATGTGAGAGGTCGAAAGTGTTTCTCCAACGTGTCCTCCAAAAACTCAGACTGTTGTCCAAAGCAGACGAGGCTCAGCCCCCTCATTCGGAAGTGATGGGAAGTGTGAGAGCCCACCGGTACAGCATAGTTTCCTCGGAAGAAGCCGGGATGAAGCTGTCCCCCATCGCTGTGCAAAACGGCTTCGGCAATGGAAACGTGGGCAGCAAAGTGCACACGCAGCACCAAGAACAAAGCCGCTTCGTCAACAAGGACGGACACTGCAATGTGCAGTTCATCAACATGAGTGAAAAAGGTCAGCGCTACCTGGCTGACATCTTCACGACATGCGTTGACATCCGCTGGCGTTGGATGATGGTCCTCTTCTGCCTCTCCTTCCTACTGTCCTGGCTTCTCTTTGGATTAATATTCTGGTTTATTGCACTTTCGTCCGGGGACTTGGAGAATCAAGAGCAGATTTGCATTTCGAACGTCGACAGCTTCACGGCAGCCTTCCTGTTTTCCGTGGAGACTCAAACTACTATCGGATATGGCTACCGATATGTAACAGAGGACTGTCCTCTTGCTGTCTTCATGGTGGTTTTCCAGAGCATCTTGGGATGCATCATTGATGCCTTCATTATTGGTGCGGTCATGGCTAAGATGGCCAAACCGAAGAAAAGAAATGAAACCCTTGTGTTCAGTCACTATGCCACAATAGCCATGAGGGACGGTAAACTGTGTCTGATGTGGAGGGTCGCGAACCTACGGAAAAGCCACCTGGTGGAAGCTCACGTTCGCGCCCAGCTGCTTAAATCTCGCACCACCGCTGAAGGCGAGTTCATCCCGCTGGATCAGCTAGATGTTGATGTCGGATTCGACACTGGCGTTGACCGTATATTTTTAGTGACCCCCATCACCATCGTCCATGAGATTGATGAGAACAGTCCATTCTATGAAATGAGCAAACAGGAACTGGAAAGTTCAGAGCTGGAGATAGTCGTGATTTTGGAGGGCATGGTGGAAGCTACGGCCATGACCACTCAGTGTCGCAGCTCTTACGTGACGAGTGAAATCCTGTGGGGTCATCGATTTGAGCCAGTCCTTTTTGAGGATAAAAATCATTACAAAGTGGACTATTCGCACTTTGAGAGCACATACGAGGTTTCCAGCACGCCTCAATGCAGCGCTCGAGATTTGGCCGAAAAGAAGTACATCACATCTAGCTCGAACTCTTTTTGTTATGAGAACGAAGTAGCCTTCATGGATAAAGAGGAAACGGAGGATGACGACGATGATGATGAAAATGACGAAGAGGACCAGCATAACATCAAAAGAGACAGTGTGGCATTGGAAGGATCCAATACTGATGACGTCAAAAGCACGGCTTCCAGTCAGGATACTTTACCACTTCAACTCAAACCTTTAAGACAGCAGCCAGAGATATGACAACTGAAGAAAGTTGCTTTGTATGGGATGACGTTGGTGTACAGCAGGTGTATAGTATACAAATGAAAAGGCTTGACTGAGGAAAGGCTGTTTTGAGAGCATGTTGCCATTGATTTGAGAGGAACCCAAAAGGTTGGGTTGCAGATGTCTTGAAACATTCACGTTGACTTATCTACGAAGACAGATCAACAAACATGAACTTTCAAATGTACTCTGACACTTTATTCACAATCAATTTGGAATATAGACAAGAGCGGCACATGTTATAGATAATAAAAGCTCTGTTCCAAACCAAGTAAGCCAATCGCGGCAACTTAAATCCAATTCCAAACCAATCACAGTAACTCAATATGGCTTAGAGAAAAAAAATCCACTCCTAGAAAATATTATTCAATGGCGTTCTATATAGAATAGGGTTCTTGGGCCTCATTATAAAATGCTGCGTAGAACTTAATCTTACAATCATTTCTCAAATGTCTGTAGGTGTGATTTAGAGAACGAATGCCTCTCTTCCAGATGTAAAATGTATAAATTGCAAATGATCTTGAATGACAGCTGAATGTTTTCAGATATCTACCTTGTAAATGGCATCTAATTAATGTCATTATCATATAAAAGAGCACCAGTCAATGTCCAAATGCTTTACTTGAGAATGGCGAGCGGCAAGAATTGCTTAGATTTCCAAATACTACCAGTTTTCCTATTTTCTGCCACAAGGAGAAGTGTGTACGTCTGCTTAGACCCTGACGTGACACCGTTTCAAAGACCGTTTTTATGAATATGAATGTTGGCATGGATTTTAGCATACGCTGTGTGTATGAACGCTTTATAAATGAGGCCCCTTGACTCAATTTTAAAGAACCCTTTATGCCAAAAAAGGTTCTATATAAGGTGAAATTAATTAATTAAAAAAATGTCATTAAAACTAAATCCATAAAATAGTCCCATGATAGGAACTCTTAAAAGGTTCTATATATGAAGCACCTGACAGAACCCTTTAAGGTTAAATATATATAAGTTTCACATTAGCATGTTGCTAAAGATGCAGTACTCTAAAAGGCATACAAATTCATGATATGAAATTGGTTAGAGTAGTTTCCTAATGTAGCGTAATGTTGTTTGGGAAGAGCTTTCACACTTGAAGCCAGTCTATGATGCCGTAACGTGCTGTCTAGGTATGTAGCTCACTAGGTTTTGGAGCAGAGCTATAATTTCACAAGTCACAATGATTTTACAGGACAGACTGCACACTATTAATAGTACATTCGAGATAATACCTTGTGTCGTGATGAAATCATGTTTGACTTCAAAAGCAGAGGCGGTACAATGAAGCCGGTAGTGAAGATGAGAACCAAATGTTTCCTTTTGATCTCGTCTATGAAATTAAACCTACAATAGAGGCATTTTTGAGCATTTAAAACTCACCGCAAGGATGACACAATTCAAGATAAATGAGCATAAAGTTAGAACCCTAGCATCCATATTTCACGTTTCAAATGTGGTTGTTATTGACAGTAGGCATTTTTTATGTGAAGAGCTATGTGTTCACAGATTATTTGAAAACCTTAGCTGAAAATAATGAAAGGAACCTGTTAATGAGCTGGTCTCTTAACATACTTCTGTATACAAATAAATGTGTTACGATATCAGTACTGAAGATTAGCCATCCATTTTAATGACCGTATAAGCTAATCTAGGGCACTTATTAGTAAACGTAAAGCTAGTCAGTCCATGCACTGCATCTTCCACACAGGGTTTGTCAAAGCACACTCAACGTCTCAGGGTTTGGAGGAAATCTGGCATTCATACAGTATGAGCGGTCAAAGAGTTGTAAATACACTACAGCAAATCTTTGAATAATATGTAAAGAATGTCATGTTCATAGCAGTATATGTCCTTTCGATGTGCAATATAGCTTCAGTGACTGAAGACATGAATGTTAATGTTTATGAATGAAGGCTCGAATGTTATTTATCTGCTGCTATTTAGGAAAGGTTATAAAAGATAAATATGTTGACAGAAGGAGAGAAAAAAATACTATTTGTTTTGTATGACATGTTAAAACCCAAGTAATAATGACTTACAATGCTGGTATTTAAAAACCAGAAACAGTAGGGAACCAATATCTAATGAGTTTTTTTTTTTTTATGTATACGACTGTGACAGTAGCTATCAAAATAAATCACAATAAAGGTTACTATTGATTAACAATATAATCTGCAGTGTGATCATCTGCAGAAGTTTGCCTGATTTGTATTAAATTGAAGGTGAAACCCGGTCCATATTTTTAATTGTTTGGTTTTATGCATAATTACGTTCTGGTAAGGTCTCAAAATGCACAAATTAATATCTTTGACATGTTTGTGACATCATAAAATATTTTATTATAAATATTTCTTGCCTGTAGCATATTTGATATAAAGATGTATTTTGATCACATCGCATATTATGTAATCCTAGTGACAACATTCCAGATGATGACATCACATATGGATGTGTGCTACAGTACATTTAAAGAGACAGAAGAAGTTCATTCGCTTTTAGACTGTAAATGTAGTTGACATTGAGGATCATCCAGGCAAGGATCGTGTGGCTTGACTAATTTGAATCCATGACCCTATATTTTGTGTAAACAGAGAATCGATTGGACACAGGAGATGCAATGAGAGGATTGGATTTTGTTCTGCTGAAAGTCAGATTTTTCCCTTAGGCAATTTTCCACATTATCCAATGACATGTCCTCTTTACTAGGAAAGACGAAAATCAGTTGACTGTATTTCATTGAGCATCAGATACTTAAAGGGACAGTTCACCCAAAAAGGAAAATTCTGTCATTATTTACAAACCGGTATGAGTTTCTTTCTGCTGTTGAACACACAAAATAAAGATATTTTGAAGAATGTTGGCAATCAAACAGTTGATGGACCCCATTGACTTCAATTTTTTTCCATTCAATGGAAGTCAATAGCTACCATCAACTGTTTGATTGCCAACATTCTTCAAAATATCTTTTTGTGTGTGTGTTCAGCAGCAGAAAGAAACTCATACCGGTTTGGAACAACTTGAGGGTGAGTGAATGATGACAGCATTTTAATTTTGGGGTGAACTGTCACTTTAATGAACAAGTATTATTTTATATATTATATTATCCAAGAAGAGGTAATCCCTCTCACATTTAAAGCGAGTTCAAAGCCTTCATAATCCGAGCTACAAAATAAAGTACACATAAGGTAATACGAAGCAGCTGTTGCAGTGAAATTTATTAACGGTGCAGTGTCAGTTCAGGTGTGGTCTCTACAGTTATTAGGTTTAATCTCTAATGTTATTCCTGATGAATGAAGTCTGGTTTTGAGATTAGGATTATCCCTCTACCATGCTGTGCAGTGAAAACTATATGACGCACAGTTTCACAGACCAGTGATGTAGATTAAATGCGTGTTAGTAAAAAAAATGCGTCAATATGTTTCTCACTCGATCATGTATCTGATTTTTGTTTGCATTGAGTCTGCAAACAGAAATGTTGAGTGTTTCATGGCGGCGTATATGGGCTGGTAAATTTAAGGGTTGATCCACGGGCTGCGCTACTAACGTTTTAATATTTGTTACAATTCAAATCATTTAGAGCTGCATTGTGCTCTAGAGAGGAAATGAAAAAAACGTTGTGTTCAATTTTAGGTCAGTTGCTAGCCATAATAAAACTTTGGAAAATCCAGAAGGCAATTTTATCTCAGAAGAAGTCATTTAAACAGTATGCTAACTTCAAAACAAAGTTAAAACACTCTGTGACTCACTTAATGAAAATGAAACCATGCATAACATGTACAAATTTATTTTGTATTTTAAAGTATATAATATCGCAATTTTTATTCTGGGACAAACCCCAAAATTCCAATGACCCTGTCCATGAGCTATCCATATATTTATAGGATCATTCAGGATCCCCTATTTCAGTCCCGACGTCTATGATGGTCAATCTGATATATAATTGTGATTCAAGGAGACCATAGAAACAGTCTGTAAAGCAGCTTCATAAAAAATACAGTTTAAAAGTAATATATATATATATTGGTCTGAATTTAAACTGCATTCTTGCACCGACTGTGTAGTGCCATACATACATAAACTGCATTATGAAGATTAAAATGTCAAAACACAAGTTAAGATAGCAGAGACTGCATTGCGGTTAACATCTCCACAGTCTGACATTTCCTGAGTGAGCAGTATTGACAGAAAACACATTCCCTCCAACCCTGATTACATAAAGCATGTTCTGTTAATGATCTCTAGCGACACTGAACCACTATCACACTACTAAAAGTAGCATATGCACATTTTGTGTATGCATATAGATTACTCAGATTACATAATACAATTGCCAAAATAGAACACGGTTTGTGCCCCTGTGATGAAATTCATGTGTCAACACCATAGCAATATAGCATAGTATTTTGATTTTGAGCCAATACTCCTGTAGGGGTAAAATCTTTGCGTGGCAGGGGGAGCTGCCACTCGACCGGCCACGGAATTATGCGCCTGCCACTGCGTTATATGCGCCTGCCACCCGACCAGTCACGGATATATGCGCCTGCCACTCGACCAGTCACAGATATATGCGCCTGCCACTCGACCAGTCACAGATATATGCGCCTGCCACTCGACCAGTCACAGATATATGCGCCTGCCACTCGACCAGTCACAGATATATGCGCCGGCCACTCGAACTTACACAATATGTAAGATAGGTTTTCAAACCAAATGCAGCGCATAACCCCTGAAGCCAGCGGGAGACAGAACGGTATGCACTATAGGTCAATATTCACCATTAACCAAACGCTTTTCACCTGCCTCACAACTACTGTAGGCTACTCGCTTTTTTTTAAATGAGCACCAGTCTCGTGACATAGATTTATGCGCCTGCCTTAAAATCTCTCACTGTTTTAATATACCAGACGAACTCACAGGCAGTGCAATACTTATCTTATTTATGTCTAATTGTATCTCTTTTTTATTCGCTCTTTTTGCCTATAGAGAGCGCGTCTCTTGGCTCCCGC